AAAAAAAAAAAAAAAAAGACTAAAACATGTCAGTAACAGTATATGCATGGCACTCCAAATATATATATACATACATATATAGAGATTCATACAAAAAAATGATGTAAAGTATAAAAGATCTCAGAATTCTTAAAAATATACTTTCAAAGTAAAGTTAACAAACGTAATAAACAAGTTTATAGAGATTATGCCCAATTCTGAACCAAAATAAAAAGCAGTAAAATGTTGCTAAGAGACAGCCAAAGGAGCTCTAGTGGTACAGTGGTGAAGGCATTTAGCTGCTAACCAAAAGGTTGATGGTTCAAACCCACCAGCTGCTCCGCAAAAGAATGAGGAGGCAGTCTGCCTCCATAAAGATTTACAGCCTTGGAAACCCAACAGGGGTCACTATGAGTTGGAATCAACTTGCTGGCAGTGAGTTTGGTCTTTGGTTTAAGAGACAGTCACTGGTCACTGTTTTCCCCATCTCTGACGCATCTAATAGGTAATGCACGTTGGGTAAATGAATGAACTAAGTTACTTTTTTGAGCTTTGATTATCTCCCCAAACAGTAAAACTTTCTTAGGGAAATCTTTTTCAAGAGAGTTCTGGTTGAAGTACAGGTAGAAAGCTAAAGACTCACAGTACTTAATTGCCTGCCTCTCAGGCTTCCTGAGGCACCTTTGAAAAATCCAGTATGAAAACCCCTACTAGAATTCAGTTTCAAAAACCACTGCTAGAAGTATATAAAATATTCTAAGTATAATAAAATGATTCTAGAGATCTGTTGTTTTAAGATGCTGGCGAATGTGGGAATTTAAAAAAAATTTTATATACCTATTAAATATTTTTCTTAACCTCATATCATTCTGAGTCATTTGAATGAACATAGTAAGGACATAATTGGGCAAAAGACACTAAAACTCCATGTACACAAGAGATTTACAAATTACAAAAGTAATAGTTTACTAAGAATTCTATTACTCTGTCTATAAATACCATTTAACAACGAGGACTGAAAAGAAGTAAAGTGAAGACTTTCTCACTTTGGGGTAACCTGTTTTCCTCAAAGATTCTAGGAACTTGTTACGTCAACACATATGAAAACTACGATCTAGGGAGCTTACATGAATTCTTTTAACTCCCACAAAAAATCAAAGGAAAAATTACGTAGCCCACTAGTTTGGGATCCCTAGAAATCCAACATAGAGCTTAGCTACTCTGAAGAAATATTAAAAAGACAGACCAACAGTCATACAGCTAATTACCTTC